GCAATACCATTTATAATAGCCATGCAAAGGATGAAATACTTAGGAATAAACATAACCAGAGAAACAAAGGACTTATACAAAGAAAATTACAAAGCACTACTACAAGAAACCAAAAGAGACCTACAGAAGTAGAAGAACATACCATGTTCCTGGATAGGAAGACTCAACATTGTGAAAATGTCAATACACCCAGAGCAATTTACACATACAATGCAATCCCAATCCAGATTCCAACAACATTCTTCAACGAGATGGAAAGGGCAATTACTAATTTTATATGGAAAGGAAAGAGACCTAGGATAAGCAAAGCACTGCTTAAAAGGAAGAACAAGCTTGGAGGTCTCTCACTCACCGATTTCAAACCAATATATGTGGTGTCCTGGTGTGGCACTGTAGGATAATTTTTGGGCCACAAGCTTGGCTTGAACCTTGAGGTCAGTGGTTCAACCCCACCAGCAGTCCTTGGAAACCCTAGACAGGTCTGCTATGAGTCGGAACCAACTTGACAGCACTTAATAACAACTTATAATATATTTAAGACAATTAGATAGAAATAAAGTGAGAAAACATGATCTGTTCCCACCTTCTTCAGTTTCTCCCCACATTGTTCTACAATTTTTCTTCTAATGCATCCTCTCACTGCAACATGCTCCCTGGAATGTGCCAACATCCTCATCATCTTCACTAATAGTTTCCTTCTCCACCTCCTGATGCCATATTTTAAATTCAAAATCATCTTGGCCCCATTCCTAATATTAACAAGAAATTTTAAATACCTAGAGAAGAAAACAATGTACCGATGCAACATATTTGGAAGAGAGAATTCAGACAGAAACTTTTGCAGTTATGGTCAGTTGATTTTTGACCACAGTGCCAAGAGACAGTTCAGTGGGAGAAAGGAAAGTCTTTTAATCAAATGGTGCTAGGACAATTAGATATCTATATAAACAAGAAAATGATATAGATCTTTACCTAACACTACGTATAAAAATTAATTCACAATGGATCATACATAAGTCTAAATTTAAAGTTTAAAACTATAAACAATTTCTAGAAGAAACATTGTTAGGTGCCATCCAGTCAGTTCCTACTCATAGCAACCCCTGTGCACAAAATAACAAAATACTGCTTGGTCCTGTGACATCCTCAAAATTGTTGCTGCTAGGAAAAATCAAAAACAATAATGGCAATCTGATTGACTACTACAAGAACAAGCAAGTTG